TTCAAAATTAACAAAGAAAAGATAAAAGAAGTGGAAAAACACAAGAAAGAACAAAAATAACCAAAATAAAGGTAAAAACAGCTAGAGAATGCGCAAATAAGTGACAAATAATGAGGGAAAATCATTACTGAAAAGGGGTGAAATAGTAGCATAAATGCCACTCATCAAAATCCCCCACACTTGCCTCTTGCTTGTCCTTAAGCAAAACTAAGAGAAAATATAAAAAGTAAACACTACAAAGACTAACACAACATGGCAAGGATTAGGAAAACAAATCAAGTTTTAGGGTGTAAAATGCTCCATTCGGACTCAAAAGAAAAGACAAGCGCCAAAGAATACTCGCCTTTCTCAATTAAACGAGGGAAAACACGTTCTAAGATGCTCATGGATGAAAGAGACAAACCTAAGGTAAGCATAGAGAACTAGTGAATTCATTCTCCTACCTAGTCCCATCAAAACGATCCGCGTTCTCCCCACTAGCTTCAAATCACCCCCTAGTTAGCTCCTCATGGTTCCATGAAGAAAAACCGGAAAGAGATAAAATTTGAGGAAACATAAGGTCATCCTGACATCTAAACTATGCATACTCTCTCCATAGGATTGAAATCCATCTCCCTCCACCGATATTTAGCCTCACCCCTCTAAAGTCTAAGGGTCTTTACTATGGACGGCTTTTTTTTATGAAACTTCATTTGATTTTCTTGAATTGCATCTTTCTTTTCAAACTTTTCTTGCATATTCATATTCAAGCTCAACTTTCAATTCCTTAGTTAAACCAATTCTCAAAGTGCTTCTTGTTCATATTCAACATGCTCAAAACTCAAACCTCACATGCCAAATGCTTCACTGACTAAGAGGGTTGGTAAAACATAGATCATTAGGTTTGTAATGTGGTTAAGATAACAAAGGGAAACATTAGGCTCAAATTGGTTAGCAATTAGGTTGATGTAAAATAGAAAATCAAATTTGTAACTAAACAAAAAGAAATATAAACAAAAATGAGAAAAGGTGCCCTTTTTCTCCCCTAAAGTTGCTTGGTCACGATCTTGGAAGCTAGAGGACAACACAAGGATTAAGACATGCATAGTCGAGGATCCTAAAATGCCGCACAACAAAATGATGAAGGCTAGAACAATTTAAACCTCACAAGGGATGAAAAGTAAGCAAATACCAACTACAGGGCTTCAAATCCACTATAGAGAGCAACTCCATCTTACCACTTTCCCGTGAACTAAGGTTTTAAACGTCCTCAATAGTTCTTAACCTTGCTACCTTAGCTTAAAATTTGTCTAACTCAACCAAAAGCACTCTCAAACCGTGTATTTCATCATCAACTAGGAAGAAACAAGAATTCTAAGGTACATCATCAAAGCAATCGAGTCCAAATGTATGAGCAAATTCCAAAACTTATTCATTTCATCTTGCCATAGTCATGTTTGTCACACAAAAAGGAAAACAAAACAAAAAAAGGAGGAAGAAATCAAAAAGATTCACAAACAAGGTTTATAAATCCAATTAATTCCCAATCGTCATACAATGATTGTTCGATATCAACATCAACGATTCCAGGTTCCTTAGAACAACAACCTCGAACCATTTAACTTCTTCCGAGACTAACCTAAGCTAAGCACACCAAAAGAAAGAAAAAGAGTAAAGGAAAGATCTTACCTAAATGTTTCATGAAGACAATAAAGCAACCTTACAATTTACCATGGCTCCATATGTTGCTTCCAATTTTCTTCAAAGCTACAAGAGAGAGAGATAAAAGCAAAAACAAACACTATACAAAAAAAAGGTTAGAATGAAAGAGAAAGAAAATCTACAAACTCAAAATTTGGGCACAACCAACTACCCAAACTCAACTCATTATCCAATCATCATCATCATTCAAGACATCATTGACCAACAACAAAAAAAAACAATGCTACCAAAACGCTTAACAACACCCAACAACAAGACCAAAACACACAAATCACTTAATCATTCCCATGAGTCCTTGGTGCCTTCCCCCACACTTACCCAAAAACACTCCCTTTTAACTCAAACACCCCCCCCACACTAGATAAGAGCATCGTCCTCGATGCTTCACATGCAAATAAAATGAAAAGGGGGACCAAAAGGGGGAAGTGAAAACAAACAAACCAAGGGGGAAATTATTGGCCACTAGGGACGGCGCCACCATAATCCCCATTCCAACTATCATATGAAAAACCCAAAGGGGGGCCATGGGGTTCCCAACCTCCGGTGTAACCGGGAGGCCACCCATATTGACCCGTAAAAAGGTCTAGTTGGGATGCGGATAATTGGTCAAATGGCTCGGGTTGAACTAGAGGCAAAGGGTGAGAGGGATCAACGTAGGGGTAGTTAGGGTCACCCCTATAATCACTCCCAACCGAAACCCGGTAGTCATAATTATTGGACTCATCGGGAAACTCACGTCTTGGCACATTGGGGTCCGAGGGACCCGGCCAATAGGGGTACGTAGGTTGGTTGTCACCCTTTTAAGATGGCACGGGCCCTTGTTGAGCCAACACATATGAATAGTTAACCGGAGTAGTGACATCCTCTCTACGCACACTAGCATTATAAAGGGCATTTGTTTGAAAGAAATTATGTTGTTGGGAGGCGAACATACCTTGCATTCTAAGTTGCATGCTCTCCATGTGTGCTCGCATAGCCGCCATCTCTTGTTGGTAGTCTTGTTGTTGTTGTGTTGTTGTTGTTGACATCTCCTTCTTCCTTGTTGTTGTTGTTGTTGTTGAATAGGGGGAATCACCTCCACCTCATCATCATCTTTCTCCTCATTACCACCCTCTTTATCATCTCCATCATCCTCCATTCATGCACGCGGGAGGATACCCGTATCCTTTCTCACCCACCATGGGTGATTAACTCCTTCCCTAATAAAGGAAGTGAACTCCGGTTTGGGGAGGAGACAATGATGCTCAAGGGAGAAAAGCAAGCTCCACATCCTTCCCCTATCCTCCGTGTCCCCAATAAAATTTATGGTTTTCAATTGATCAATATCAAACCAAATGTCACTTCCATCACTCTTCCCAACGGGGGTGCAAGAACGTAACTTATCCTTATGCCCCAAATTTTCCGCCAACCTTGTGATCATCCCACCATAATGAATCTCCCCCGTCTTCGTCCCCGAAAGAATAGCCCCAATACACTTGGTGAAGAGATAACCAAAATTCACCCTATGGCCCAAATTCGGCCGAGTAGCAAGCCACAAAACCCAGATTTGCTTTGCGGTTATCTTACCCAAGTCTTGCTTGTTGAATACCATGTACCCAAGAATTCTATGTAGAAGTCAAAGAGCGGGGTGCATGATCTGACTAGCCAACGAGTACTTAGCATTAAAGTTATCCATTCTTGAGATGCTCTTCCACCATGCAAGGGGGTTATAATCATGTAAAGCCTCATGCTCGGGAATGAAAAGGTTGGCATCGGGGTTTAGGTCGAGGAATTGATTGAATTGACGAAGATTCATGGTTTCCTACTTGTTGGAAAGTTGGAAGGAGATGGAAAGGTCTTTGTCTACGGTGGCATGGCATTCAACAGAAGTTAGAAATTCAAGGGTAGGTTCTCGATAGGTTCGATATGCATTGGCCACAAAGGAGCCTATCCTCAAATTGTTGAATTAAATCCAACAATCCTCATCTATGCCAAGCTTGGTTGTTATGGCTTGGTGGTAGTTCTTGGTGGTTCGGATTTTTTGGGATAGCAAGTTATCGTATATGGGTTTGTGGTGTTTATTATGGAATTTGAGTGGTGGCAAAGGTGGTGGTGGAGCTCATTATTTTGAGGGGTTTGTGAAGCGGAACTTTGAGGCTCCTTCCCACTCTTTTTCTTCTTAGAACCAATCACCATATTCGTAATCACCAAAATTCAATCAACACCACTCCAATTACAAGTAACAATCCCACTTACTACAACAAACTTTCACAATTCACACACTCCACAATCCACCAAACAACACAAATCAACAAAGATAAACCACCAACAATCACAAATATCAACCAACAAACAACAATCAACCAAGAATAATAAACATATCTCAACATAAACTACCATTCATACATCAAACTTCACCACAGAAATCCACAAGCATAACAAATTTAAACACCAAAGCAATTGCTCAAAATTCAAATAAAACTAGAGAGGGAGTGATTATACCAACAATATGAGATCAAAATCAACTCCAACAAGCCTCAAGAACATGAACCCCAAGCAAGCTTCAAGATTTACCAATGTAGAACCCACGAAAAATTCGGACCCAAATTAATGGGAGAATGATGAAAATGATGAAATTGATGTATTTTTATGGAAATTTCTAAGAAATTGAGGGGATTTGATGGGTTTTGATGACAAGTTTGAGAGGTTAGGTTTTGAGGGAAAGGGGAATGTTAGAGAGAGAAACAAAGGGCGGTCGAAAATAGGGGGGAAATAAAAAGAATGGTTGCCCGAAGTTGAAATAACCGGGTTGTGAAACCCAGTTCGCCGCGCCCGCGGGTCGTGTGTCGTGCTCCCGTGTCAAACTGTCGCGCCTGCGGTAAGTCATCCTGCGCCTTCTCCTAGGGCGCGGCGAGACATCTCCAGGAAATCAAGGGTGAAACTTTGAAGCCCTGTCCACGCCCTCTCCTTTCTCAGCCCCACCCGCGGGTCCTTGGAGAGGGCTCTCCCTAGGCGTGGGGTGCACTTTAAGCCTTGAGACCTAAATTTCGACCTTTTCTTCTTTCATAACTCAATCTTGGCTCTTGAAAACAAGTCCCTTGAGTTTAGAACACCCTTAATTCCTAGTCCACAAACTCAATGCCCAAAAGTTCAAGTACCTACAAAAGAAAAGCCAAAGAACGTAAGATAAGAACCATAAGAAAAATTAACTAAAATCGACCAAATAGAGGAAATAAAGAATTAAAAGAGTTAAGAACTCGAGTTGCCTACCGAACAGCGCTTCTTTATGAGGTCACTAGCTTGACCCTGAGAAATTATCATCAAGGGAGTGGCTTGATATCCTTAGGATCAAGCCTCATGCATTCAATCAAACCAACTTCATCCTTGCAAAAATAGTGCTTCAAAGGATGGCCATTAACCATGAACTTATGATCACTCGCCTCTAACTCAAAAGAACCATGAGGAGTAGTCTTTGAATTCACGAAAGGCCCCGACCATTTGGATTTAAGCTTTCCGGGAAACAAACGAAGCCTAGAATTGAATAACAACACCTTGTCTCCAACCTTGAAGCTCTTGTTCCTTATGTGTTGGTCATGCCATTTATTGGTCTTCTCCTTATATAGCCTTGAGTTCTCATAGGCATCATATCTAAGCTCCTCAAGTTCATTCAGCTTAAGCAATCTCTTCTCACCGCTAAGTGAAATATCCATGTTAAGTTTTTTGATAGCCCACCAAGCCTTATGCTCCAACTCGACCGGCAAATGACAAGCCTTCCCATAGACCAACCGATAGGGGGTTGTACCAATTGGAGTCTTGTACGCCGTCCATAGGGCCCAAAGTGTGTCATCAAGCTTGAGGGACCAATCCTTCCTAGATTTTTTCACCATCCTTTCAAGAAGATTCTTGATCTCTCTATTTAACACCTCCACTTGCCCTTAAGTTTGAGGATGATAAGGTAGACCAACTTTATGATGAACTCCATACCTCTTGAGAAGAGCTTCAAGTTACTTCTTGGCGAAGTGGGAACCTCCATCACTAATTAGAACCCTAGGAACCCTAAACCATGGAAAGAAGATCTTCTTGAAAAGCTTAAGCACAACCTTATGATCATTGGTAGGGGAAGGTATGGCTTAAATCCACTTAGTCACATAATCAACCGCTACCAAGATGTAAAAATTTCAACATGAAGAATAAAAAGGCCTCATAAATTCGACACCCCAAACATCAAAAGGCTTAACTTCCAAAATGTTTTGTTAAGGCATTTCATCTCTTTTGGTTATGCCACCACTTCTTTGGCACCTATCACATCTAGAAACAAACTTATGAGCATCCTTATGCATCGTTGGCCACCATAAGAGAGATTGAGAAATCTTTGCCACCGTCTTGTCAACTCCCCCAAGTCCTCCACATGGCAACGTGTGGCAATGCTCAAGAACTCCTTTAATTTCATGATCCGGAACACATTTTCGGAAAAGGCCATCTCCACATTGTTTGAAAAATTAAGGGTCATTCCAAAAGTATCTCCTCACTTCTTTGAAAAACCTCTTCTTTTGTTGAGAAGAGAACTCCAGGCGAATGACTCCACAAGCAAGATAGTTGGAGATATCCGCATACCATGGGCTAGATGCTGAAGCTATAGCCATAAGAGTTTCAAATCCCATCTCCTCATTGATTGGTACATCCTTCTTGTTCTCAAAAGGAAGCCTAGACAAATGATCCGCCACATAGTTCTCCGCTCCTTTCTTATCTCTCATCTCCGTGTCAAAATCTTGAAGCGAAAGAACCCAACGGATAAGGCGTGGCTTTTCTTCCTTCTTGGTCATGAGATAGCGAACCGCTATATGATCCGTGTACACAATCACTTTGGAGCAAATAAGATAGGACCTAAACTTATCCATGGCAAACACAACCGCAAGCATTTCTTTCTCCGTCATTGTGTAATTCTTTTGAGCTTCATCAAGAGTTCTACTTGCATAGTAGATGACTTAAGATCTTCCTTCTTTCTTTTTCTTAACCACGCACCGTACCTATTACAAAATCACTCGCATTGCACATTAGCTCAAAAGGCAAGCTCCAATCCGAACTTGCACAACGGGAGAGGAAATGAGAGCTTCCTTGAGCTTTTGAAATGCCTCAAGACAAGCCTCATTAAAGCTAAACACAACATCTTTCTTGAGTAATTCGGTCAAAGGTTTTGCGATTGATGAAAAATCATTGATAAACCTCCGGTAAAAACCTGCATGCCCTAGAAAAGCTTTCACTCCCGTAATGGAAGTAGGAGGGTGCAACTTTGCAATCACCGAAACTTTGGCCGGATCAACCTCAATGCCCTTCTTTGATACTTTATGGCCTAGGACAATACCCTCCTCAACCATAAAATGAAATTTTTCCCAATTCAAAACCATACTCGTCTCTTGACACCTTTTCAAAACTTTTTCAAGATTATAAAGACAAGTGTCAAAAGACGAGCCACCAGCACTAAAATCATCCATGAAAACTTCAATCTCATTTTCAAGCATCTCGGAAAAAACTAAAGTCATGCATCGTTGGAATATTGAAGGAGCATTGCATAACCCGAATAGCATTCCGAAGAATGAGAATGTTCCATATGGACATGTGAAAGTAGTTTTCTCTTGGTCATTTGGGTGGATAGGGATTAAGGAAAATCTGGAATACCCATCCAAAAAACAAAAGAAAGCATGGTGAGAAAGTCTCTCCAACATTTGGTCCATGAAGGGGAGAGGGAAATGGTCTTTCTTTGTATTTTTGTTTAACCTCCTATAGTCAATACACATTCTCCACCCGGTCACCGTCCGGGTGGAGATCTCTTCTCCTCTTTCTCCCTTGAAAATGGTCATTCCACCTTTCTTTGGAACCAAGTGAACCGGGCTAACCCACTTGCTATCGGAGATAGCATAAATTATGCCTGCTTCACGCAATTTCAAAATTTCCTTCTTGAAAACCTCTTAGAGGTTGAAGTTCAACCTCCTTTAAGGTTCAATTGAGGTAGATTGATCATCCTCAAGATGAATAAGATGCATGCACAAAGAGGGGTTAATACCCTTGATATCGGGTAATCCCCTTCATTTTCTCAACATAACAAGCAATTTTTCAAAATCAAGACCATCAAGTGTAGCATTGACAATAATAGGGTAATCCCCTTCATTTCCAAGATAAGCATATTTCAAAGAAGGTGGAAGGGGTTTGAGTTCTATCTTGGGAGGAGGCTTGGAACTCCCCTCCAATTTCTCCTCCTTTTGGTCAAGCTCATCTTCTTGTTGTTCAACATCTTCCTCCTTTTGAGCTTCTTCCATGGCCATGACAAACTCTTTTGCCTCTTGAGAGTGGTACTCTTACTTGCATGTAAGAGCTTCAACCATTGGATCTTGAGGCTTCATCATGACCCTTCCTAAGCGATCTAACTCCTCATTCACAACATCAATTCTATAGCATTTTTCATCCTTGGGGGTCTTGAGTAACTTGGAGAACTCAAAAACAATCTTCTCATTGGCCACCTCACATGTAATGGTGTTGTTCTTGCAATTGATCACCACCCCCAAAGTCTTAAGAGCTTCACGACCCAAAATCAAAGGAGTGTCAACATCTTCCTCCATATCCATCACTACAAAATCACAAGGCACGTAAATGTATCCAACTTGAATAGGAACATCCTCAAGTTCACCACAAGGTAACTTCACCGAACGATCAGCCAATTAGATCGTCTTCCTTGTAGGGATCATTTCAATGTTAAGTTTTTGAGCAATGGATAGAGGAAACAAACTAACACTTACTCCAAGATCGGCTAAGGTGCCCCTAACTTCCATGTTCCCAATCTTTACCGGCAAAGTGAAACTTCCCGGATCTTTTTTCTTCTTGGGCATCTTATGTTGGACAATTGCACTCATTTGACGGGAAAGAGTGATGAGCTCATCATTTAGCTTCCTCTTGTTGGTGAGAATATCTTTGAGGAACTTGGAGTAAGAAGGCATTTGTGTGACAACTTCAATGAAAGGGAGATTAATGTGCAAATTCTTCATAACACTAAGGAACTTTGCAAACTTATCATTCAACTTCCTCTCCGCAAGTCAACCGGGAAATGGAACCGGCCCATCAAGATTCCTAGCCTTACTAAATACTAAGAGTTGAAGTTTTCTTCTCATGTTTAAGCTTCTTCTTCTCCACACTTCCTTCTTTCTCAACAAACTTTTCTTCTTCAACTCTCTTGTCCTCACTCACACTCTCTTCTCCTCCCTTCTTTTCCTCACTAACCCCCTCCTTAGGACCTTCATAGGATGTACCCGATCTAAATGTGATTGCCTTCCAAGAGTCGGGTTTTATGTTGTGGGATGGGTTAGTTTGTGGTTGTCCGGGTAGAGTAGAAGATGAATTGAAAGGGACTCTCTCAACCAATTGAGCTAATTGTGAATCAACCATCTTGTTATGAGCCTTGACTTCTTGCATTTGTTGATTCATGGCTTGAAGTTGTTGAAGAATTTGGGTTTGTGTAGAATCGGGTTGAGATGCTTGATCTTGGCTCCTTTGAGAAACTTGATTTTGATTGTTGTATTGGTTTTGGTTATTGTATTGGTTGTTTCTTGGGTAATTTCCTCTTGGGTTTTGGTTTTGAAGTGGAGGTGGGTTTTGGTATTGTGGGTTGGAGTTGTATGATGGTTGAGCTTGTTGACTCCATTGTTGAGGTTGAGGTGCAAATCTAGGTGGTGGTTGTCTCCAAGCTACTCCACCGCCACTTCCCTTATATCCATGTTGCCTAGTGTTGTATGCCGCCACATGCTCGGTTCTCAAACCTCCACAATAAGATGTATCGTGGTTTGTACCACAACAATTTTAACAAGAGAAAGAATTGACTTGAGAGGTGCTTGTCCCACTATTAACACTCGTATTCAACTTTGCAAGCTCTTTTGTCAAAAGCTTAATTTGATGTTACAATTGATCAACCTTCCCCAATTCATACATCCCACCTTTCCTTGGTGCATTCCTCCTTCTACCACCCCAAGAGTAGTTCTTCGCTACCTCTTCAATTGTTGCTTCAACTTGATTTTGGGGGATCTTAATCAATTGTCCACCCGCCCCCGCATCAAAGTTAGCTCTAGACACAGGTTCCAATCCATCATAGAAGAATCGCATGAACAAGGTTTGATTGTATTCATGGTGAGGACATGCTTGTACCAACTCTTTGAAACTTTCCCAAGCTTCACTAAGACTCTCATCCGCTTCTTATTCAAATGATGCAATCTCCTTCTCATTTCGGCAATTTTTTCCTCGAAAATGAACCTCTTCAAGAATGCCTTGACTATCTCTCTCCATGTTGTGAGAGAATTTGGCTTGACTTGCTTGAGCCACTTCTTTGCTCTACCCGAAAGAGATTGTCAAAATAAGTGCATACGGATGTACTCTTGAGAAACTTTATTGGTTTGAATCATGGCACAAAGCTCAAGGAATATATCAAGGTGCTCAATAGAATCTTCACTTGGAGAACCCAAAAATTGTTCCGATTGAACCATTCTAGTGTATTGAGGATGAATGGTAAAATTGGTTTCCGTGACGCGTAGCAAAATCCCTCCTGTAAGGTCATAATCCTCCTATTTCCAAACTCACGAAAAAAAAATTCATCTTCTTGTCCCGCCATTGCCTCACTTAGAGAACTCGAAGACCAGGAATCACTCTCACTCTCAACAATAACACCAAGACCTCGCGCCTCTTCTTGATAAAGCCTATGGACTTGTATCAAAGTACGGTCGATCTCGTGGTCAATGTAATGTGTGGGTGGTCCTTGAGACCTCCTTAGCATCCACCAAAGCTAAGAGAACAATTATAAATGACTAGCAAGAAAGTAAATGAACAAAAATGAAAAGCAAAAAATCCAATA